CAGCTAGTGCTGAACGATTAATCAATTTTAAATCGAAATTGCGATTTGAAATGATGCGATTATCAAATTGCAAAGCCTGCGATTTTGTTTTACAATCTTTTTTTTTTTTTGTACAATTTTTTTTTTACAATTTTTTTTTTTTCTTCTTGTGTGTCAGTCATCCACACCAATCAGAAGTGCTGTGCTCCNTTCAGTTTGATAAAGTGTTGATGGTACTGAGAGAAAAACCCTTTCCCATAATATCTTTGAAAATATCTGGTATTATGAGAATAACTCTCGTAACCATGAGAAATGTTAAGTGAAATGTGTCTTTGACTGTGTATTAGGGCTGTACCCGAATATCCGAATATTCGTTCGTTGAAGTACTATTCGGGTTTCAATTTCGTTATTCGGATATTCGTTTTTTTTTACACTGCGGCTGCCAAATAGAATTTAATGAAATCTCCAATATCAACGTAAGAGCTTTTGCCTCTTCGGGGGGTGCTAACACTTAACCATAAACGTTATAGTTTACTTTCTCCGTCTTTATATGTAGATATTACTTTTTCTCCGTTAATCTCCGTCACGTTGTTTCCATAGCAACAACAACTTCCTGTCAACAGTGCTACCTCTCCTTCAAAATAAAAGCATGTCCATAAAAAATAGGAAGCCAAGCCAAATTACACTTAAGACATACACAACTGCAACGAAAGTAAGAACCACAATGCGATATCCTTTTCAATTTCAAAGAACACAAATTGGGTTACATTAACAAATAACTATAAAACAACAATACTGTAGAATAACAAAATGGATGCCGTGAATAAAACCGTTTAGTACATAACTCACACAACCTCCACAAATACGTGTTGAAGTGGGCCGAATATCCACACATTCGCTGCTGATTACTACCGAATATCCGGAACATTTTATATAAATTGTTTTTATATTCTGGATTGTGGGAAACAGTATTTCGATCTCTCTCCTGTCAACACAAACTGGAAGATTGACATTAAAGTTGACTTTGACTTTTGAAGGGTCTCAAAGATTTTTCCTCAGAAGTACGAGGTATTTCCAAATGATTACAAGATGAGACATCTTTGTGTTTGCTTTAGGTAACATGAAGCTTATTCCTGTTGCATATCATGTTTAATAATCGTATTGATGCAACAGCGGTAATTCAAGTTTAAAAGTCTCAAAAATGCTACAACTACTGTCAAAAACTGGATGAATGTGAAGTGTTTTGTTAAAGGAGGATGAAGCGTAATTAAGTATTAACTATTGGAGTGACTTTGATGGTTATTGGACTCGGGATTAATTCATTTGGATTCCCGCTGAATGAAGAAATTAAAGGACGGGGAAGTGGAAACAATTCACAAAGGGATTAAATTATTTAAAACACATGCTCAAAGTAAACCGGATTTGTGTTTATGTGGATTCAAAAGTTGTAAATAATCTACAAAATGGAGGAGACCGATCTGATCGGAGCAACTGACAAATAATCCAACTGAAACCGGCATGGACCATGACTATGTTTTAAAAATGCGCCGGTTTGGAAACTTTACGGGCAGAAGAAACATTTCTATTAAATAGAAATGTTTCTTCTGCCCGTAAAGTTTCCAAACCGGCGCATTTTTAAAACATAGTCATGGTCCATGCCGGTTTCAGTTGGATTATTTGTCAGTTGNAGGTCAACCTACTTATAGTTTAAAATTTATTTTTTTAATTGGAATTCCCGTTGTTGACCTTCACGAAAAAAAAGAGAAATACGTAACGTATTTCTAGCCTAGCCCTTTTTTGCCATAGCCGTTGAACAGTTTTAGTTACTAGCCTAGCCTAGCCTCGTTTTTTTCCATAGACCTGTAGGGTATCAACATATAATCCCACACGTGGCTTACCCTGTAAGAACCGGCTTGGCTAATGGCTTTATCCGTGTCACCGGCTTTTTCGCTTACCGCTGGCCGCGTTTACTAATTAACTTAATAAAAAATATATTACATATGGACCCGGAGCCTCTAACAACCAAGGACAAGAACCAACTCTTCACTCACGGACCAGTAACTCCTTCCCATGGACAGTCCGTCCAGGAGCCTCCCTTTTTTCACAGCAGCATTGGATCAGTTCAGTACAGCAGCATTGGATCAAAACAAAATAAAGCTTATCAGTACTCGTTAGCTTACTGCTACAATTAGACACTGCGCCCTGCCCACTCTTTTGCCAGATTTGAGAGAAATAAGCAACCAGGTCTATGAAAACAAGCCCCAAAGAAGCAACACATACATGATGTTGTGTAATTTGAAACCAAAACTAAGGCCTCAGGATGACTTTAAGACTTGAATATGGTCATTTTTGTTTTGTAACATTGAATACAAAATTAAAAAAAAGTATTTAAAAAAAAAAAAAAAAGAATCCCGATCCCCGATTTTTTTGTCCTGATTCCGATCTTTTGAAAATCACGTGATCGGCTCCGATCCCCGATCACGTGATTGGATCGGGACATCTCTATATACAACGTCTTTATCGTGGTCTGCACAAACTTGTCATCATGCGTGTATTCTGCTAACTGCACTGTCCATAACTATTTGATAGGAATACATTTCTAGCCGAGGCTATTTCCTTGTTTTTCGGTGATTTAGTGGGCTCGTTTGTGGGATGTTGCGGATGAGTTTCACCGAGACCGCCTACTCTGAACAACCAATCACCGTACTGACCGCTTCTAAACTCATGCACGAGAATCGACGTAATCCATAACAATGGCGCGTCACTCTTAGTTCACTCTTAGTGATTTATCCTTAGTATGAGTAGGTCTCAGCGGCTTTGTGAATAACTTTTAAGAAAAAACTCCTACGTAAAATGTTTTAGCGCGAGTTAGGAGCACTCCTAGCGGTAAGATAAAATGCTTTGTGAATACGGCCCCTGGTCATTATTTGTAGTTTTTGTGAAAAAACACTTCTTAGCCAATGGATACCGTTCTCATGAATTTTCACTAAATAAGCAAACAAAACTAAATGTCATTACCTTTTTATCCTGGCTTCGTACTCGGTCTTCTGCTTGTTCATCTCCTGTTTGAGACTGGCCACTAGGCTGTGCAGAGCACTGTGGCTCCCGGCTCCATTCCCCACAGTGTATCCCTCACTGTTATCACTGCTGCTGGTGCCCCGACTGCTCCCCCCTGCTCCTTCTCCACTGCCCTCTCTGTTGCTGTTCCTGCAATCCCCCTCTCCTCCTTCACCAGACTTGGGCTCAGTGTCTCGCACCGCTCCATCGATGTCCTCGTAGTGACCTCCGTAGAAGTCCTGCTCGGGACAGGTGGTGGTGGAGGAGCGGCAGGAGGTGGAGTTGTCCGGCAGGGAGATCTCACAGGAGGAGGTGGACCAAGTGGCGCTGTCCACGCTCTGCTTGTCCTCGCAGCTGCTGTTCAGACACGTGTTGGCGATGTGGTTCTGCTGCTGCAGGTTGTGGTGGTTTAACTGGACGTTGTCGTACGTGGACAGGCGGTTCTGATTGGATGTTGGATCCACTTGGGTGCCGTCTCGGGTTTTGTTGTTGTCGCGTAACGTGACGCAGCCGTTTGGTACCCACAGACCGTTGCGGCCGTTCAGACCCACATCAGTGCCGGATAGGCCCATACGCACAACTCCAGTCCCGTTCCCTCCGGTGCTGCTACCACTCGTCACACCACTGGTGCCCATTTTGGTGCCGGAGCCTTTGAGCGTCCCACTGCGGCGCACCGGTAAACTCCCGCCTCCTGTTAGAGTCTGGCTCTTCTCCTGACTGGGGTCTGAAGAGGGCGAGGAGCTGAAGGAGCCGTTTGTTACGATCCCGCTGCCCTTACTGAAAGCTGGGTTCTTTTTAACCGTCATTGGTGGACTGCGGGTGATGTCAAAGCGTCCGATGACACCGCTACGAGGGCTGGCCGATCGCGGGGAGACGTTGTTGTCCACGTGCTGGCGGTGTGACGGAGATTCGGGTGCTTCCCAAACACACTGCCGCACTACCTGTGTATTGTTGTTCTCGGTGTTCTGGGTCACCGTAGTGATGGCGGAGGTATTTGTGGTGGCTTGTCCACGTGGCAGCTCGATGTTGTTGTTGTTGACAAGCTCGAGGGCCGTGGGGCTGTCCTCTTCCAGGGGGAACAGCACGTCTTGGCGGCCAATCAGAACGGCCATGAGCTGCTGGACCAGAACAGTACCTGAAAAGATGAGACCTGAATCAGTATCTTTCCTTTTGAAATGTGCATATAGTTACTCTTAACGTTACAATAATGTCAGCATGCCAGAATACTGACCTTCCATAATAGCGACTGGATCCTCGACCTTCGGCCTCAAGATATTTGGCCCGAAGACTGTGGCCAAGTTTTGGACGCTCATTTTATTCACCCCTGAATACGACTGGACTTCATCTAGAAATCTGGCAAAACAACACATTTGAATAAACATTTCCCTGTTATATTAACAGTATATATTTATCATGATTTTACTTAAATATAATTTTAAAAACAATTATTACCTGCAGATGTACTTCAGAAGGTTGTAGTTTACCCGAGGTAGACCTTCCACAAGCTTTCTCAACTCCTTCATACCCTGCAGATGATGCAATTACTTTTTAATCACACCAACAGACTGAATAGACAACACAACAAATCAGTGAAAAATAATTAAAATATATTCTACGATATTTAATATGAAAATGTTTAGAGGACCAACGTTTCTCTCAGCGATTGATTTTCATTAAAGCAATGCTTTGATTTTTCAGAGAACAAAACAAATGGTACTAAAATCCATTATTAGTAATCTAAAAACAATTAGTATGAAATTATTCCTATCACCTTCTGGGGAATGCTTACAAAGGTATGTTTTATTTTATAATCAGAGTTAATATTGTTCCTCTTTATGAGAGCTTTTACTATGCTAACCCATGTGTGGTTGTTTTTTGATTTTCAAAATGCAGAAATGTTTTCAAATAAGACAATCATCAAACACAATTCTGATTTGTAAATGTTCTAATCTGAAATGAGCTCACAGGATTACAAACAACCAAAACCTGCTGCAATCCAATGACAAACTGGTAACCTTTTCTTTTATTGTGAATTCTCCTCACTGTTCCTTTTTTAGTTCAAAGTCCTTGGAAGTTTCACAGGCATGGCAGTACTAATCTATGCTTGAGGTGGTAACACTTGAATACAAGATCCAAGCACATGCACACAAATGCACAAAACTTGGGCTCTAGTGTAAATGAGAGGAGGAGGAGGATTAAGAGACTGTGAGGAAGCCAAAGACTCGCCCCCTGCTGTGAAGCATTATCTTTAAAGTGTGAGAGAAATCCTATTTAGAGACCAGCTTTAATCCCACAGCGCAGCACTTCGGATGATTTATGTGAGAGTTTTTCAGTGCTCACTTCTGTGGATGTGTAGTATAAGCAAGGTACAGGTAGGAAGAAACCAATCAAGCGCTATTTTTTACCATTTCATCATCTTTGCTGAGGAGCTTTGCGGAGGCCAGGAAATCGTCAAACTTGTTGAAGGGGACGACGGGCTCCGGCAGCTCTCTGAGGTACAGCTTCAGGAGAGAGGCCACTGTGTGCACATCCGTGTTACTGCACAGGAACATCACAGACAGAAATAGATAAATTATTATTGGTACATGGCATGGAGGCAAACAGAAATCCTCATGAATACTCTTGCAGCAAGAGGACTTCAGGGAAATCTTAAAGGCAGCTGTCTGTAGTGTTGTGTTTCAGAATCAGGGATTCTTAATTGATCCCCGGGGGAAAAATGGCATTACATTACAGTTACTGTACACCCATTTAAGAATAGAAATACAGTATATATAATTATAGAGACATTAAAACTGTGGTAAGCACTAGTATGTAGGGATGGGTATAATTTGAAATTTATCGATTCCGATTCCGGTTCTGCTTATCGATTCCGGTTCTTATCGATTCCCCGTTTCGATTCCAAAATTGTAAAAGAAAGAGGTCAAACGTTTAGATAACAAAAATATCTTTATTCTTTTAAGCTTTAACTGACATTTTTACAAATAAAAAATATGGAT